GTGTGTGTGTGTGTGTGTGTGTGTGTGTGTGAGTGAGTGTGTGTGTGTGAGTTTATTGTGGACACTTACATCCACTCCTGGAAGTCCTGGCAGGCCTGGTTTTCCCAAAGAGCCCGGTATTCCTGCTTTCCCTTTGGGACCCTGCATAAAGACATTCATGAAGTTGTGCACAAGAAATTAATTAATTAATTTATTCAATAAGTTTAACCTATGAAAGTGTTTAACCAGGAGGTTTTTCCAAACACAGATCAAGAGTCTTAAAGACAAACGGTGTCATATGTTTTGCAAATTGAGAGAAATTTGTAATTTTGGAGAGAATAGGGCTATTTTTCTGTTTTTGGCACAAATTAGAGCAGCTGGTCTTTTATTGTCTCTTCTCCTCCTACATTTACATTTTTTAATTTGGCCTTCATTTGCAGTATAGCTACATGAAAAGACCACTTTCTTTTGCGCTACAGATTAAAGAGATGGACTTTGACACACGCAGCTTTGTCTCAATTACAAACTGTAAATAAAACTGGCTCGAGTCAGAATACTTACAGCCTTCCCTGGCAGTCCAGCAGGTCCAGGTTTCCCCTGTAAATTATAAAGGACAAATGAGCGTCACAGCTACAGAGAAACACCTGTCGCTCCTCTTCAAAGTTCATTTTGTTGAACGTCTTATACGCAACAGTTTAATGTTGGATCTTACAAATTAAGCCTTTTAAATTCCACTGACACACAGATTCAGAGACATCCAGTGTTTGCTCATGTTGCAAAATCATCAGTAACGGGTTTATAACAATGAGTCTCTGGTCTGAATCAGTGAAAAGGATTGAATGTTTATCTTCTGCAGCGACAGAAGAACAAATTGACCTGGTGCTGTCTGGTCCCATGATGAAAGCCTCAGTTTAGTTAGAACTGGGGGGGTAGTGTTGGGTTGGGGGTGGCTGAAGGTGGAGGGAGGAGGTGTGAGGTGAAACTCTAGATGGTCTCACCGGGTTGGGGAATGTATGAATGAGCCCTCTGTGTGCCTGCACTTCACTGGAGTCACAGAAATATCAGCAAACTAAAAAAACCTCAGGAGATTTTGACATGAAACGTTTTTCTTCATGTAGAAGATTCAATTTAAATAATTTGAAGAGTTTTAGTCTTTTTGTTTAGTCTGAAGTTTTCTCCCCATGTTACCAAAGTGTTTCTTGTTAATTTGACTTTCCCAATTATCCAATTTCCTCTTACAACTTCAAAACTTGAGCAAATTAAGTCTTGTTGCGTCATTTTACTCAGATTTCTCCCATAACTTCACATCCTAGTGACTGAAGAGTCTAAGGGCTTCGATTTCGGGAGATTTCTGTTGAATTGTTCACATTCACTGAAGATATAATCATGGAAATCAACACGTACCAAGTTGAATTAGTTAATGAGACCAACTAAAGATGGAGCACAGTCAATCCATAGCATTAGGCTTTTCAGGACACAGGCCTTTATGAATATAGTGTAATAACCAAAACCTTTCCACTGATATAAGTAAATTTAGTACATACACACCTAAACCCTGCCCACCTGAAGCCGTGCTTATGATTTAATACTTGTAGGTGGAGCTGTGGGAGGAGTCACTGTGATAAAACATCTAGAATCATTTCAGACTCATTTATGCAGAAAGAAAACGCTTTCTACCAAAGGTGCACCTGAATGGGAATCTGGATTAGATTTTAAAGTACAACATGTAAACTATCACTGTGGTGTGTGTGTGTGTGTGTGTGTGTGTGTTTGGCACAAGATAAAAAAATGTAATCTCACTTTTTGTACAAAGGAGGAAAATGTTTATCAGTTTATTACTGACTCTAAGAAAATGAGGAAGTGACATGCTCCCCACTCACTGCAGATGGTTGAATATTAAATGTTAAATAGGAAAACGTATTGGGTGTATTAGCTTTAAGTAAGAAACCTGGTCAACTCACATCAGTGCCATCCTTTCCTGCTGGTCCTAAGGGTCCTGGTGGCCCAGGAGATCCTCTGGGGCCCGGCCTCTGTGACACAAAATTCCAATTCAGAATCCTGCATTCCTCCATGTGTTATATGTGACTGTCATGTATCCACACTTCCTTTGATACAGTCACCTCAAGAAGAGAAGTACAGATTTGAGATCCACTGGATCAATAAATAATAAGTGTTTGAAAATGTTTGATGACAAAATAATATAATATAGTAGAAAGTGACCTCAGGACAGTGTTAACAAAATGTCATAATTCAGGCAAATTCTAAACATTTAAATAGACACAAATTATTCAATACAACCACACTATGAAAAGTTTGGTAAACAAAATACGTGCGTAAAGACGCTTTACATCCAAATGTACGCACAAGCAGGAGGCTGAACCAGATTTCTATAAAAAACACAAATAAACCAGATTCATATCTGCAAAATAAACGTTTTTTCACTCAAGGTTTTCTAAATGAGTTCCTGCGTTTAGTCAGGAAGCCTGACTAAACAGAGGTGGCATTGTGCGCTGTGGCACTGATCTCCAATCCGCGCATTCCACAGGTTCAGGGAAAACATAACCCCGAATTCATCAAGTGGTGCGAAAAGACCAAGCACCTGAAGACAATTAGACTGAAGAAGAAAAACACCTTCCACGTTCACTCAAATCTACCAAACTATTCTAAGATGTTATTTTCCTGCACTAAACCATCCAGAGAACATCCGTGTGACGCGCAGGCAGCTCAGGCCTCAAGCAGCTGCGAGAGAGAGAGAGCGGCTGTCACCATCAGCACCAGGAGACACTTTATCATCAACCGGTGGATCCGCAGGTAACTTCTCACAATAAGTCAGGATTATGAACTTTAGCTGCACACATCACCACAGAGAGCTGCTGCAGGCGATGGATGAAGAGACTGACGCGGCACTTGGTGCCTCTTACCTGGGCTGAGGATGATGTCAAAAGCTGGCACAGTAAGAGCACCCACAGAGCAGAGAACACCGCCATGTCTCCTCCACTCGCCCTCACAAACTTTATGTGGAAAAGGTCAAATCCCCGGTTCCCGGTCCTGTCTCGCTCCCCCCCAGAGTCCGCAACGGAGCCTTTCTTCACCACACGGCGCGCAGCTCCTGAATGGCTTTCTCTTTGGTCCCAGATAAACCCGAGCCTCCAGCCGAAGGGGCTGAACTCAGTCTGGTGCACAGTGCACAGGGGTGAGGGGGGTGAGGAGGAGTGGGACTGGTGAGGGAGGCATGAGGGGAAGAGAGGAACCGTTTGGGACAGAGAAGAAGTGGGCTGAGCTAAAGGTGTTGGAAATATCCAGAGGTTGGTGATCTGACCAACTGAAGCTGAAGCCTTCACATGTTTAATGGAGAACTTTAGATTCTCTTCAGTTTCACCATGAAGTACAATCACAATAAAGAACTCCTTCACCTTTAGTGCTTCACATCTGTTTCATACATTTGGTTTCTTGAAAACAATACCTTTAGTGTCCTGGTGTACAGTCCCAGAAAACTTCAAAATAAAATCCAGAATCCTACATTTCCCATAATGCAACTCAGCAGCACATTTCCATTGACATCATTATCTATATACAATACCAGGTGCCACTTTTCTTAAGATGAGTAACACAGGAATGTATAGGCTGTGAAAAAAAAACAGATGGACTTGAACCATTTCAGCTTTAACTATTTTTTTTCGCAGCGGTGATGAAAAGTACATCTGCATCTCAGGGTTTTCTGCAACGTCTGTTCCCAGACTCGAGCTGCTGCTGATGACCTTCATCACTTTATCGGCAGATTGTTTTCTTGATTGATGGATAAAAACTTTGGCCACTGAGATGTCAAAAAATACTAAAAAGATGTTTCATCCGATAAACAGATCTTTAGATTACCATCACATAAGAGAACTAGAATATGATTCAGTAAAATCTCCAACAGTCTCCTTAAATTCAATCACACAGAAAACGCTCACAGATATCTGTGCCCTAAATGTGCCTGATTTTCTTCCTCATCAAGATCTCTGAGTTATTCCCATGGAAACTGGGTGAAAATTCGAAAAAACATCCCATCTCTCATTGCTAAGGAAATGTAATGAGTTCTCTCTTGGCACATCTTCCCCTCAAGTTAAAAGAAAATCTGTTTTAGTTTTTAGTGTAATCCTGTTGAAAAAACCCCCAGATGGAGGGTGAAATCATAACTGTCCTTAGTGGAGGTAAAAATGAAGAATAAAGCTCATGCTCTAAAAAGTCAAAGGAATATAAGATTGTTGCTCACTAATCATTTCAACAATACCCCAGACTAAGTATATTATTGATGTGTTATTATTAAATATCTTGACCGGAAGAAATCTAAACAAGAGAAGTAGCACATCAGGTATCAAACTATCGTGGTCAATTGTGAGGAGGACAAGCATACTCTGGTCTGAACTTTAAATAATCCAACAAACAGTGTTATTTATAATATTCCAAACCTGGGAGGCACGGGTAGATCTATAGACGGAGGCAGCCACAGACGACGCTGTAAAAAACCATCTCAGCCTCCACACTGATCCTGAGCTCTGTACAAGTTGTGTTGCGTCAGTATCTCTAAGTTTAACATGTTTCTTCCTGTGAGTCACAGCACTTCACCGAGGAGCAGAGTTTCTTACTTTATGCGGCTGAGAAGAAGAATATCAGGATTAGGAGGCGAAGCCGACAGCGTTATCCTGAGAACTGCGATGTAATGATGATAAGACTCAACAGATCAATGTCATAACAAACATCAGAAAATAGTATAACTTTATTCTGCTTTGTCAACAGCCAGGTATTTACTTCAGGAAAAAAAAGGATCATTTATAAAGGAGTCAGTACTTTTGTAAAGTTATTACCATTTCATTATGTAAATATCATAACTTCAACAATTAATATTCAAAATTAAGTGCAAATATAAAAAAGATGCATCAATATAACCAACCCTGGCTCGTAAATATCCACAGTTTCAAATGAACATACAGCCGACTTTAAATTATAGACAAAGCTTTTTTAGTTCTGCCGATAACAAACGTATCGTACAATCAACGTCTTCTCTCATTGTTTTTTGGCAGGTGATCAAAAGTCTACTTCCCTAAAACATTCAGTCTTTAATCCATTCGGACAGCGGGTCCAGAAAACAGTCGTTTTTTTAAATCAACAAAAAAAAAAACCCTCTTCCAACTATTTCTCAGTGCAAAAAAAACTGTTGAATTGTGAAATTATTTAGGTGTTAGAAAATCTGAAATCATTTTTTATTGACATACATTAATAGTGCTTTATGTATTCTATAGATATTTCATATCAGTCGCTGACAGTGTCAGCCATTACTACCTTAAAGGAAAAGTCTGGTAATGTTCATATTGTACAGAAATCCCTTGAATAGACCAAAAACAACCACGATCATTCTTTTTCTGTTGTCTGAGTGTTGTCCCCATCACATAAATGAAGCACTGGGTGACACTTTCATTACAATAGTTTACTTTAAATCAATGCCAGTATTCTGCTGTACACACACCTTCACTGGAAACATCCCCCAGAAAAAACACTATTTACTCCTGTTTGAGTAACACTAGCAAACATTCTATGTAGCCCTTTAAAAAACTAAACTTACATACTTCATGTCTGACCGGTTTTTAAAGATTCACGTCTTTCTGAGGATCACATGGACTCGGAGCTGGGAACAAAAGTCAGAAAGTATCTGGAGAACAAATTGACTTAAGCATCACTTTTGGTCTTTTCATGGGATTTGCTGAACAAAAAAGAAAGAAAATGATATATATTTATATAATATCACCAGACTTAATCTTTGCTATCTGATGACCATGTAGAAACTGAGTGAAACCCAGTCCCACATTTGGTGAATGAATAAATCCATATACTCCTTCAAAGTGAAAAGAATCAATATCTCACATTAAATACAGTAGAAATAAGGCTCAGAAAGTCTCAGTACTCTGTCCCTTGATCATGTTTCATTTAAAGTCATATCAATCATCCGGTTTAGTCTCGATGTCCCATAGTTCTGTTCTGGGCTCGAGGGGTTTGATGCTGAATCAACGTCCCATTTCTCTACTCATCCTCAGTTTTGCCGGCGCTCGTCAGTGACCCATTTGTTGCTGACACATTTTCCTGCGACATGTCCTCTTCATCGTCTTCGTTTTTATCTGGCACTTCATTAAATTCAGTCCTTGGGATTTTTTCCTCCCTTCCAGAGGAGAGAGTGGGAGAGTGTTTTGAAGTCTTAAGCGGGGTTTGCGCTGCCGGGCTTGTTTGACCAGTGGCTTTATTTGCACCGGTTTTTTCCTCCATTTGCACACAGGCGGGGTCCCCAGCCGAGCCGTTGCTTGGCAGCACCTTGTCATCTTCCCTCTTCTTCTTCAGTGGTTTTTCAGTGTCGATGTCCCCATCTGTCTGCATGCTGTTGTCAGATTCCTGGATGGTATCGTCTGAGTCGTTGGTAAGTTTGTGCTCACTGTCGGCACTGGGCTCACTTGCTGCTGCCATGGTGTCAGGACTGAGCGACTGATCCATTTCCTCCTCCTCTGCAGAGTCATTTCCATTCCCCATTATTTCTTTTGTAAAATCAACCTCCGTGTCTCCATTTGCCACAGTCTCAGGTTCTGGCTCAGCAGACGCCTCTGACAGTTTGTTTTTGTCTTTACTTTCTGTATTATCGCTTCCTTTCTGACTCTTTGTTCCGTTATCCACTCCGTCCTCTTTCTGCTGCACACCTGCTTCCCCATCTTTGCTTTTACTCCGTGAATATGCTTCATCCTTTCCATCTCCATTCCCGATGGCGTCGGCTCTTTTGTCTGCCTTCCTGAATTGTTTCTGAATCTTCCTGGGACACCACACAAACTTATCCTTTGGCTCAAAGTGAAGGTAGGCGAAACGCAAAAGCTCCTGACGTTTCTGCTTGTCCAGCACAGCAAACAGGAAATAGTCAAGTACACTGCGTTTCACACTACTGAGGGTCTTCTTGACTAGAGTCTCTTCCAGAAAGAAGTGAACAAGTGGGGCCTGGTAGCGCTTGAATCCCAGCTCCCCGAGGCTCTTCAGGATGCGAGTGATGCGCAGGTTGTTGTGCATATTCCTGCAAGACATCAGAAAGTTGAGGCTGAATTTAAAAAACGAAAAAATGCATATCTCAAAAGTTGCTAGTGTGAGAAAGTTAAACATTTACCGCTCCAGGTTTGCAAAGCGATCCTTCCAATTTTCAGCACGTTTCACTTCCCCAGTCTCTTTGTTGACTAAACGGATGCCATAAAAGCCCAACATGAGTTCATAGGACTCGACTAGTCTCCTTTTGGCGTCCTCATTCTTCTTAAAGGCCTGAGGCAAAACATCAATTAGAAAAATAAGTGATGTGTCGAAAAGTGGGAGTAAGCATATTAAATACAATATTATAAGCATAATATAGGTTCGACATAAAGTTAAAAAGATCATTAAAATGCTCTAAATCTTTGACACGTTTCTCAAAGCAGCAGTTGAGCTGTTATGAGTTTCTCCACGTCAGCTACATCATGTTAAAATGACTATTGTCTATTGAACTGTCTGTGCTATATTAAAAATATATCCATCATAAACCCAAAGCGTAGTAAACACCACAAAGAAATGTTTTGCACTTTATAAATGAAGATTTATGTGCAGCAAATGATCCACAGCAAAGGAAAGTTTGGTTGATTTCGCTGCTGCTCCAGGCAAACATTAAGCCCTTCCAGCGACAGTAAAAATGAAATTGCGGTGGTTCTTTAAGGTTTGATGAATATGCTTTTATTACACATTATAGATGTGGAACCTGATAACTTATCTTCAGCATAATGTCATTTCAGCCACAAGAGAATATATTGAACAACAAGAGGCGGAGGAGGCTTACGATAGGAACTCTCGGGTCTATTTCAGTCTATTTCTGAATTTGTGATTGTGACTGAGTTTAGATTTAAAAAGAATGAAGGGAATGAAACAAAACTTTGGTTTCTTCTTCAGGCTCTGGAGGTTCTAAAAAGATGCTCTTCACTTCCAATAAGTCAGAAAGAGGAGAGAAGCTTCTGTTATAAAGCTTTTTGTAAAAACCTTCTTGAGCTTACGAAGGTCTCTAAGTTATTAAGTTATTAAGTTCATTTTCTCGACAGAATTCATCACTCACGCAGTGACTTGATTTTAGAAAAACTATGGCAGCTTCTTGATTTTCTGGTTAATTGAACGTGGCATCTGAGTAGTTTTGTGTTTGTTGTTCATTTTCAGTGTTTCTAATATGACGTCTTGAGCTACAGCAGCAGGAACACACTCATGTTTTGACACTGACGACAGCTCTGTACTTACTAGATAAGATTTTGTAGCATCAGGATAAAGAGTCAAATGAAGTTGAGCCAAAAACTTTAAAGACATTATTAAGAGCCAAATCCTGCACAGTAAAAGCACAGCTGAGCACTTCTCTAATGAATTTTTGTTTCTTAATATAGTCTTACCTCAATTTCCTTCTTGGTGAGTTCTGAAGCCATGTAATTAACCCCAGGTTCTCGCAGTGGAAACAACCTAACAGCAGCAGAGGATTCAAGAGAGAAACAACACAAAACCAATTAACATCTAATGAAACTGCTCTAATTCAATGGAGACGTCAGCTGTTCATAACCAAAACATGAAATCATTTTCATGTGGAGCTTCACTCCAGAAAAAAAATCTGAACCACAGGGAACTCACAAGACGTCCTTCACTGATTCTATTTTGCCAAAACTATGGTGACGGGTGAGAAAGCAGCTTGTGTCATAATCAACAGTATAATCAAAAATCAAGCACTGTGAATACCAACTGTAGTGAGTATACTACATTTCCAGTGTGAACAAACTGCTTACGTGCACCCTGCTTACATTTGTCTTATTGAGTTTGGCTTCAGGACAGTTTGTGACCTGGCATTTAATAAACTTGTGCACACTCCTTACTCAGACTGCAAGGTCATGTGTCTGCCAATAATAAGATGATATTGACTTTGCTGTGTCAGATTAGACACAGACAAAACATACACCCGAAGAATGAAACGATACATACCACTGAATGTATGAGTGAACTCTCTCCAGTCTTTTGTAGTCGTTTTTCCATTCTTTAAGGAATGACTCTATGTAGATATCTGTACCAAGCCAGAAAAAGAAGGTATAAACTTTAACACACACAACTTTTCCCCAAACACGGGAGAATAAAATATTGGTAAAACATAAAAATGTGTTTACCATCAGGAGCGGAGGGAAAGTTATTCAGGTAAAACTGCAAATTGTTCATTTTGTCTTCTGAGCACTCGTCATCTGTGAGATTCTGTAGAAACACAAACATGTGATCACTCTTTGTGACGAGATGTTTTCTGTCGTGCAACAGAAGCTGTTTTCAGACACTGAACAAGTGGGTGCGGACTTTCTCTGGAGCTTTCCTTTAAAAATGAACCACACAGCAGAAGATTCTCTGCTCAAATGTATAACAAACACTGGACAAACAGAAAAACACTTTTTTTTAAATGGGATGTCGATCAATTATATATCTTTACTCCTCAATGTTGCACAAGTATATAACTTTAGATGAACCTTCTACTGGGTCAAATACTGTGATGTTTTCACGTGCAGCCCTGATGCAACATGCAGCTCGTTACTTACCGGATATCCTTTTCTGTAATTCTGCATGTCCTTTGCTGCCCTCATGTTTCTGGGCGTGTGGTGCCACTGCAAGCAAAAGTGAAAGTGAAATAACTGCACCGTGTGTTTCACCCTCGGATCGAATACCAGTGATTCGTATAATCATCTGAGAGCTGCTGTTTCCTAACGTGAAGCAGCTTCAACAAGTTACCTTCACGACGAGGCCACAAACCTGTGAAGTGTTAACATGACAACACAAACCTGACACAGCCTGAGACAACTTGACATGTATGCAAAGGCCAAGCTAATCAACCCCCCCCCCCCATCACCACCACTACCAGAGACGGACTTAGCAGCTTCACAGTCTAACACTGAAACTATGAATAATGAGATGTGAACAGAAATCAATGCAAACAGCTGGAAATAAAAACTCAAGCGCTGCCAGAGACGCAGAATCCCCGAGGAGTGGGCTAACGACAGCGGCTAGCTAGGCTAGTTAGCAAGCCTTCAGCAGCAGCAGCTGGGCACGGAGCTAACGTTAGCTGTGCAGTCATGGTGATGATGTCCGGGTGGAAAAAAGCAGCGACTCGTCGTGTTTAACTGTTTAACATCATTTATATGAATTCAGGCGGAGGATCAACACGTACTAAAGTCCAGCCGCTTTTGTTTTTGTCCTGACTCGCCCGGCGGGTCTGGCTCTCTGCAGCCGGCTCGTCTCCGTCGCTCTCGGTGTCCCAGGTCGAGTCGTAATCACACACGCAGTCGTCCTCCATCCTTTCCCGAATACACACCGTCTTGCGAGCAGCGGAACAAAACAAGCGTCGGAGCCCGGTTAGCGCCGTCTGTGAGCGGACACGGACGTGGTTACCCTCGCATGTTGCGGTTATAAACGGCCCTGACCACCCGCCTCTCTCCAGGCTTCCATCGTCACTGGCTCCGCTGGCTGCTGCGGGGCTCGCGACGCCTTCACGCACCCCCGCCGTGTGGCGTTCATCTCAGCCTCGGTTCACCGTGACCTCGGATCAGAAACGAAACCGGTGTTAATGAAAAGAAAGATTTCGTGGTTCAAGAGTCACGATGTGACCGAGGAACAGCAGTTTGAATAACACTTCATCACCACCTTCGCCTCAGAACAAACAAACAAGTTCACAATATTTTAGTGTTATTTGGCTCCTGATGGTGCAATATTCATTTCTGTCTGTGCAATTCAATCTGTTTTCATTGTACTTATTCTCACACTGTATATATTCTGTTTGCATTGTATATATGAGTTCTAGTCTATTCATATTTCTTATGTTAGGGTCTTCTTTGCTGCTGTAACATGACACATGTCCCCATTGTGGGACTAATAAAGTACAATCATACCTGATCTTAAATATCTTAAACCATATTCATATTTTATTTTCCATGTCATACTCCTACCTAGTTACATTGCACACTTGTCATCGTTCGTTTGTCTGAGTGAGAATGTGATTTTTCAGACACAGCCTGAAGGCAGCACACTTGCAGTGTTGGTTGAGATATAAAGTCTGAAGCAGCTGGTGTGAGTCAGCCTGTTTCAGACTTTCACTTTCACTCTTATGTAACCTGAAGCAGCAGTCATGCTATGATAGTTATACTGATAACTAATAAGGTAACACATTTTCAACCAATACACATAGAAAAAGTAACTATTCCATTAACCCATTTATGTGCAAACACAAAATCTCAAATCTTGAATAAAAAAGAGCATATACAGAATATATATCTATATATATTATAAAATATATAATTTTATGGCCAGAGAGATCATGTGGAATCCAGGTCACATGTTCCCCAGCTCATCCGGAGTAATGGGATGCACCTGGGACGTCCCTCAGCTGGTGGGAATGAGCTGAGGCTGGGAGGGTTTATAAGGAGGTTTGGTTTCTGTGTTCAGTTGGTTGTTTGCTGTCGGAGAGTCAACACCTTCAGTTGTCTCTCTGAGTTTGTGTTGTTGGTTTTGTGTTGTTGGTTTAGTGTTGTTGGTTTAGCTTATTCTAAGAATTTGTTCCCATTTTGTTGGTTTTGTTGTGGTGTTTTGTTTCCCCAACAGTAGCAGCAAATGGTTTCCAACTGGAACCAGGCAATGTTTGGTATATTTGCTGGAGATTACATCAGCAATTAACTGATGAATGGATTCATTGATTAGTTTTCTGTGCACTGATAATTGACTAATCATTTTGACTCTATCCAAGACTGGTGTACCCAAATTGAGATGGGGCTGAACATGCACAGGGGGCATCACAGGGGTTATCACCACACAGCAAAATGTGCTAAAGTGTAGCTCCTATTTGCAAATGGAAGAATCTCTGTCAGTCTTTATTCTGACAACCACTCACCTGACTGACCTCAAACGTTTTGTGTCGACCACGAACACAGTAAAGTTTGTATATAAGAAAGTTTCTGTGTTACGTGCTTTAGAAGCACTGCAGCCGTTCGCACACAAACTCACATGCTTTTGTTTGCTCTCTCTTACACCCTCCACCCACACAAATGAATGCAAAGTCCAATATGTCCAGAGATCCGGTCTCATTAAACGGTGTCACATTCTCATGTTGTATCTTCGGTGTCTGAGATCGTGAGTTTGATTCAGTTTTCACGCAGTAAGGAGCCGCAGCACGAGGACAGATTCGGAGGTGTGAACACGTAATTGGACCGTGATGTCCGTCTTTTGACAGCAACCAGACAAATACATCGATACATGAGAGTATATTTCAGCATTAGATGATATAAATAGAACCATGTGTTATCACAGGGGATTCAGTGTTGAATGGCCGCTGGTGTGGATTTCTATTTTTGGTCCTGGTTACTGTGGAAACCAGAGGGCTCTGCAGGCATCCAGTGTTTGCTGTTGCTATTTAGTGCCTCTGCCTCATAAAATGGAATCCACGTTGCCTTATTCTCTGTGAAATCAACGCAGATGGAAAGATTTGTCAACATAAACCGAGATGATAATACTTGAAATGAACCAGACTTAATGTGTGGCTTTGAAGAAACTGATTCACTCTGAAACAAGCGGCTAATCTACTCCCCATTTCAACTCAGTTTCCTGCTTCTTACACTTTATCCCTGCAGGAAGTGGGAGGGTGGAGTTGAGGGTCGTCTCGGGGAACTGTGTTCACCAGAACTGTTGCACCAGCTATTTGTAGATTCATAGTTGTTTGTATTCAGTCTTTCCAACATTACTAGATGGCTTCAAACTGATTTACTAAACTGGATTGTACCTGAGGAACAACAGCAAAAAATACTGCCTTTAAGGTGGAAAACCGACTGACGAGATAAAGTCACCAACGCTGCTGTGCTGAATCAAGCCGAGCGTGCATGTCATCCTCTGTCAGCATTGACTGCAGTGATTGGGTCACTTCTGTACGAAGAGCCGGGCTGGTCGGCTCTTTGAGGATGTCTGCAAGTGTGTCCTGACACTAATGTTAATATATGATTCTCTGCGTTTCACCTGTCTGTCAAAATCTTATGATTGAAAGTTCATAGCTGACCACAGAACTTAAGAAACGAAAATTTCATCACAACTTTCATTAAATATCATTTTTTTGTGGTATCTCTCAGTCATGTCCATGATTTGTGGAAGCAAAACTACAAAAGTAGTTTGTCCAGTCCTCCCCCGCAGCTTAAAATGTCAAAATTGAAAATGTCTTCTTGACATTAGAAAGAGTCTGTTTATTGTAAGTGTTCTGGAGCTTTATTCTTTACAATTCTGTCTGCAGAAATATTATTCTTATGTTCTAAGAAGACGGAAGGAATTACATTTCTGCATTACACACTTTGAGAGAGGCTGTGGCACATGTTCTTACTTTTTTTTTTTTTATGGCTGGCACATAAAGGCCTTATATTCTATTGTATCATGACACCAAAGCCTCCTCATCCCTGTTATCCTCCTGTTGTATTTTTTTTTTCTTTGCTTCCTCTTTGGTACTGAAGCTCGATTATCCTGCTCCTGTACAACGATCTGCTGAATAGAGTTCAATAGTGAAATGAGTCTGCATTTCAAATTACTGCTACATCCTGTAATTGGTAGAGACTCTTACTGTGGGATCTTTCTAATCGATATTTTTAATAGGAAACACAAAGAAATATGATGAGAACAGCCTTACAGCCTAAACTACAAATTCAAAGTCCGATATATTAAACCACTTCAATCATCAAACCAATGTGTCAAAGGAAGCCAGCAGATCAATACCTGGATTAAAGCCCTTACAGTTGAATTCACATCGTCCGTTTCTTGTTTTCTTATTGTCGTCCTCTTCTCACTGATTTCTTTGACAAATGACAGGTATGCAGACAAATCCTCCCTGTGTATGAAGCTGCTTCTTAATCTTATGTTCCTCCATTGTCCCCGTCTGTAATTTTCTCCTATTGTTGTAAAAGCACAGCTGCTGTTCCCCGCTTAAGAGCCCCTCTATTCTCAAAGTTCATCTTTTACAGTGCAGCTTCATTTCGATTTATATAAACCTTCCTCTCGGATTTTTGCCAGATTTACAGATGGGTTTTATTCAGTAAAGAAATGTGCCTACAGGCACCAGATCCTCTTTTCTCTGCATGATGCCATGTGCATCTTTAAAATGGTTCCACACCATCTGCATCGTCTCTGCATCACCACGAACACTGATGAGGTCTCTTAAAAGATGTTTTTATAATACTGCACCTTTCGACAATTCTAGGAAAGTTGTTTCCTTACCATCCAGCTGCACAAAACAACAACGATAAAAGTCATAATGATGACAACAATAATAATAACATAACGTTAATAATTATCATTAATCAAACAATACAAACAGCCCTGTGTATGTATCTATATTACTGTCTTTAACAGAGCTTAATATACTAAATCACAAAAGGGTTAAATTGGAAGAGATATTGTGAGTTTTATTGAAGATTACATTTCAATAATAAATTGTATGTATTTTACTATATTCTAAGTTATTATCATGTATGTGTTAATGAAATGCACCAGAGACTGGAGAACAGAGAGAGCGAAAGTAAATCAATGAGGCGTCTCTTTGAGTTAAAATACTTCTCCTCAAGCCCGAGCCCAATGGGGATTGATGGGCCTGCTCATTTAGGTCCCCGGGCTTTGAAAAGGATGTGAGTACAAGCTGTGTGGATTGATGAGTGGCTATTAGGGCTTCAGGTTCCACTCTTATCAGCTGAGATGTAATTGATTTACGGAGAGCGTGGTTTGAATCACAACAGGAATACGTGTGCTGATTTAGCCACTTAACAGAAAAACAGGGCCAACTGAGAGCAGGTCGCTGTGTTTTGAGAGGACGGAAAATAAAACTGAGTGATGCACCTGTGCTACTGAAACCAAAGACTGGATATAAAGGCTGAAACTCACCGTGACACCAGGAGCATGTTTCTATTCAGACTGTCTCTGATACAACTGTGGGAAATGTCTTTTTCTTTCTTTTTACATGTTTCACCGGTGAAATGAAATCCTGTCTGAATGATACCAGCTCACATTCTGAGAAGAAGTGAAGATTCACTGAACAAGGCCCCCGGATCATTACACTTAACATATTAGCCTCAACCTCACGGAGAGTCTGGTATAAGTAACCATGGCAACCAGCATCACCTACAGTAGGTTTCCAGAAGCCGAGTGTTGTAATGCAGTTGATTTAGCCGCTGTAGAGTTCGGTGAAACGCATCACTGTGCATATCCATGAAGAGCAACACATTTCCAAACAGAGGCATAAAGCTAAGATATTAAATTTCATGAATTGGATAAAATGTATACTCACACAGCTATATAACACCTATGGTTGCTGTTTTTACACATTTGTATTTTCATGTTAGGTTTGTATATTTGTACAATTTTCCTTAATTTGTTTGTGCAGCTGGATTTTTAAATGTTCACTTGCTTACTATTATTTTTGTTAGGATGCATCCATCTTTGTTGTCTGCACTCAGTTGCTGTATTTACAGTGAAGCACTTTGTATGACGGCATCATTTTCAGCTTGATTGAATCACAGGAGCAGCTGTGGCTCAGGGAGTGGAACCACCAACCCCCAGATCTCAGTCTTCCCCATTCCAACTGAATTCCCCCTTCTCACAGAAAAGCTACACATAAATTCACTGTATGAATATGGGTGAATGAGAAAATGGCAAAAACTGTAGCCGACTGTAGAGAGCGGTTATCGAGACTAGAACAGCTCTATATAAATACACACCAATTACCAGGAGATAACAAAGTAAATAAAATCATAGTACATTTTTAATTTTACTGTACAAGTGTTGCTTTGGTATTCATCGGTAATTTCCATATATATCTGTATTAAGGTTTTGGACATGCAAGGTCGTCTACATTCTTTTTTTTACTATTCTCTGAATGTAAATTAAGTTTTTTATCGACTACTACTTCCCATTATTATATGGGTAAATGAATATGAATATATGTTGATCATGGATTAAAGTTGGGAGTGCAAACTAAGATTTAGGTGAGAAGAGGAAAAAAGGGAAGAGAGGAGAGAGAGGCAGAAACTATATTGTTTAACCGAATGACGATGATAACAATACACATTAATAAATATAATTGTCATGGTGGTTTCCTGAATCTTTCACTGTATAATGTTTTCTTACATAAGTGATGTATTGATAACATAACTTACATTTTAGTAAAGTACATTTTGAGCCTGTACCCAAACAAAACTTAATGAGTTAGTGCAACATGTCGTTCCAGAGTAGATCCACGTCTCCAGCTCGGATGCGCAGCTTCAGGACCAGTTCACATGTTCGGGGTCGAGCCGGGACTTCACTTGTTGTCTACGGGTGACAGAGGACTGGTCGCGGTGCCATGTGCCACACAGGCTCCATACATCACATCACACACATCCTTGTATCGGTGCCTGCTTTGCGCATGCGAGGAGGCCACTTGGTTTAACAGATGACCGCGACCGGAGCCACCAGAGCTCTCAATGCGCACCGCCGAATATGTGCGTTTCTTTTTTTACGAACAAGGTTTCTCAACCTGGTGAGATAAAATTTCCAGGTTTACTTTTCTCCTGCGCAACATTTCTCAACTATACTCCGACCATCCATCGTTTTTAAAGCAACAGGCTGCATCACCGATGAGGAGGAGCAGTGCCACCTGTAACTGTGCCAACCGCCGAGGATGAAGAAGCAAAACGTCCGGACCCTGTCGCTCATCCTCTGCATGTTCTCCTACCTGCTGGTCGGCGCCGCGGTGTTCGACGCGCTGGAGTCCGAGTCGGAGAGCTCCCGGCGGCGAATCCTGGAGCAGAAGCGCAGCGAGATGAAGAAGAAGTACCGCTTCTCCGAGGACGACTACCGCGAAATCGAGCGAGTGGTGCTGCAAGCCGAGCCCCACCGAGCCGGCAGGCAGTGGAAATTCGCTGGCTCTTTTTACTTTGCCATAACAGTCATCACCACCATCGGTAAGTTCATGTAATGCATCCATCTTCTTTTTTTCTCTCTACTGTATTGAAGCATTTTATACAGTCTGCATCATTTAAGGCTTGTTTTAATGTCTCATAAATAAAAGTGTTGCTAATCTCTAATCTCGACACCTCTGCATTAAGGTTATGGACATGCAGCACCAGGCACAGATGCAGGAAAGGTCTTCTGCATGTTCTACGCCGTGCTGGGCATTCCTCTCACTCTGGTCATGTTCCAGAGTCTGGGAGAGAGGATGAACACATTCGTCCGCTACCTCCTCCACAAGACCAAGCAGTGCATAGGCTTCCAACGCACCGAGGTGTCCATGGAGAACATGGTCCTGGTGGGCTTCCTGTCCTGCATCGGAACTCTGTGTGTGGGAGCTGCAGCGTTCTCCCACTTTGAGGGATGGAGCTTCTTCCATGCGTACTACTACTGCTTCATCACGCTCACCACCATTGGCTTCGGGGACTTTGTGGCCCTTCAGAAAAAGGAGGACCTCCAGGAGAAAACACCTTACGTGGCGTTCAGCTTCCTGTACATCCTGGTGGGGCTGACCGTCATTGGGGCCTTCCTCAATCTGGTGGTGCTTCGCTTCCTCACCATGAACACTGAGGATGAGCGGAGAGACGCTCAGGAGAGGGCATCGCTGAAGAGGGACAGAGGCCTTTTGGAGGGGGCCGTGAGCCTCCATGTTGTGGGTGAACAGAGCAGAGGCAGCCACAGGGGGAGGAACAGGAGCAACGCAGTGCACAGCCGCAGCCACAGTACGCTCTTCCTCCCCATGGAGGAAGGAACCAGCCGCACCAACCTCATCGCTTTCCCAGCAGAGGATCAGGAGAGGCGAAGAAGCCCCTGCAGACACAGGCTACATTTTCAGATCAAGGCGGGAAGACTCAGGCCGGAGTCGAGCCTCAGCTCCCTCTGCTCCTGTGTGTGCTACCGCTTAGGGGTCTGCGATAGTCCTCTCATGACCCACAGTGAACACCACAGCTGCCATATCAATTCTGTTTATTACAACTCAGTGTCCTATAGGATCCAGGGCTGCTCGCCAGGTTCCAGGGACAACACCGGACTCTCCTCCCCAGGAAGCACGCTCTCACCCGGGCACAGCTTCCGGGAGTTCCCTCACTCAAGGAGAAGGTCGGTGTGAAGAGCACCACAGTGAGGGAAAGTGTTTGCACTGAGTGTAAACAGTATTTTGGATGACTCTGTATTTTGTGTGACCTCTTTTGTGCATGTGAGAACACAATGATTCTGTCAACTGAATAGATTCTGTTGTGGCTATGTTGAAATTTTAATTTGAAAAGCACATGAGATTACTTTTCTTATACCATGCCATTACTTCTGTTAGTGGTTCTGCTGTTTTCCTTGCATGTTAGCCAAAGTGCAGTGCATGCTAAAAATGAATGTATAGCACACAATGTGGATGCATGAGTGAAGATGTAAAAGTTTGGGCTTTTAATCTACACTTTTAGCAGCAGTATTTTGAACGTAGTGCTCATTCATAGCCGTTCAGTGAAGGTATGTGGTCTCTGCTCCTCTAAAACATTTTCATGCCGCAGCTAAAAAGATGTCATTCTACCTTTTTATTAAAAAGCCTTAAAGAACTTTAAAAAACCACATGAGATGTGGCTTCTTAGCTCAGTGAATTTAATAAGTCCTTTCTTATCATTGGGGAGGGACAGAGCAACTTTTCAGTGCATCGCTCAGCACTATAAAGAGATTACGCTTGTTTCATGACTGATTCAAATTCACTGGATGTAGCACACAACTGATATGTAGCAGGGTTATGAACGAACTTCCCACACTCCCAGAGAAGTTGTCGTTTTCTAGGGAGTTGTTTTTTTCTTTTGTAGATTTGGTTTGTAGTCAGATTCGATGTGAGTCTTATTGTTCTATTAAACCAAAGGAAAGGAGCAGTGAATGTGTGAGTGTATTTATTTCATTAGGAGGTGTAAGAGATCAACTCACATTTGTGTGAGCTTGTTTTGTAGCTTTTGTGACCAATCGTCTTCCTCCGTTCTGTTTCTGAATAAAAAAAATAAAAAGGACTCAACTCTACTTCCTTCCTTTTATTGCAGTACATGTCACACAATAGGGGTTTTGCAGAGGAAACAGGGTGGAAGAATGGCATAAATGATTCCCCTGAATATATATACACAGTGACTAACTGATGACATAATAAACCCAGAAAGCATGGGTTATTTTCAGGTTATTTACAAGAGACAATTGTTTTGATTACAAAACAGGTTGAAAAAGGTTATTTTAATAAATGAAATTCAATTTAAATAATAAGTTGATCATTTATAAAATTTAATCTGATTTCAACCAAAAGTTTGACATATTTTCATCTGCAAGTTATCAAATCAATGAATACTTGGAGAATACCAGTGATTAGATGGAACTAAATACATTTACTCTATTTTTGTTCTTTTACTTTTATTTTATACGTCTTTGTTACTTAATTTCAGAGGCAAATATTCTCCTTTACACTCCACTGAAACCTGTAGTTACTATATAGACTGTACAGATCAAGATTTTACATAAAATCATATGATGACTGAATAAACATGACACACTTTTATAGATCTAATAACTGTAGCAGTGTGTATATGTGTGTCCTGAGCTTTACAAACGTGTTCTAACTCTCCCAGGTATGATTGTGTGTTTGAGATATGCAGTAAACAATAAAAAGACCATAAACAACAGAAAGACGAAAAATTCCACTTTTCTCAGGAGCCAATATTCCAATTCATTAAACACCACATCTCAACATCTGCACAGTTCCTCCTTCTGCCGTCTTTAAAAAGCTGTTCTCTGTCTGGAATGAAGAACAGAAACCATGAAGTCTGTACAGTAAGTGTCCCCCGAGCTTCCATCTCAAGCCATCTGTTGATCTGCTGGAAGAAGCGACTACTTTCCATATAAATGTAAAAGCGATTGGCCGATAGAAGCAGAAACGGTGATTGGTTATGAAATCCCATCTGCTCTGGCTGCTCGGGGGTAAAGAAAGGAACATTAACTCACTTCCTCACACCGTCACATCACATGTAATTGTTATTAACCTTCCCGTGTTGTGCTCAACGAGTCAGATCGTATTCACCACTGTGACCTTAAAAGAAAGTATGATGCAATAACTTTGACGAGGGGGCCCTCTGCAGTGAAGAAGTCTTGGGGATGTTTGAAGACAGTCACACACAGAGCAATGTGAGAGATTTAGCCACTTGATGGCAGCAGATGTCCATGTGGTAGTAGTGAGCTGGCCCCTGATCGACCCTGTGAGCAACCCTTCTAAGTTTGATTCAATTCAGACAGGATGGACAATAATACAACATTTACTGAACTCATAGTGTCGCTGTTACTTTCTGATTTACACAGAAAACTGTTTAGAAAACACATAAATACAAAATCCATAAATTAAGTGTTAGAAGTATCTGTGGTAGAAACCTGGATTATAGAAACCCACAGCCGAAAGATAAAAACAACATTTAAAATCCTCTATACAGGTTCCATGTTGTATAAATAGATAATGTGATATGTTTTAGAACAGATACAAATGGCAGAGATATTCAATGGAAATTCACATATGACCTTTACTTGAAGTTACTGATCAAAGTCTTGCTACAGTTTTGATTGTTGCTGTGAACTTGGCTGATGCAACCTCAGGGTCAGGAGTTCATGATCCTTGACCCTGATCTGTGCAACTAACAAACTTCCTGTTTCTTGCAGAAGCAGAAGCAGATGTTTTCCTGTGTCAACCAGACTACAGAGTTCATGCCCTTATTCACTAACAGTCTCTTATGTGTCCTGTTCACCCAACTGTAAAAAAACCCTTCTTCTTTCCCTTTTCGAGGTTTCACTCTGAGCGTTCATGCTGAGTGTGAAACCCTCTGCAGAGCTCACCATTAAAGACCCAAAGATAACTCCGGTCTGAGAAACTCTTTATTTCACATCTCGAGATATACTAATATAAATACAGATTGCATAACACAATCCACTTTTGTAAATCAAATGTTTAAACAGCAGAGCGTTTCTAATTCTCTTTTTGTTCAATGACACAGAGTAATGTGATAAATGTACATTTTTATTCCATAAGATTTATAATTTTTCAATTGTTTTTCTGAAATCTGTGCAAATAAATAAATTACAAATCACAAAAGCAACATCACTGTGCATACATGCATTGAAAACAAGCCTCTTTATATAGCAAATAAGAAGTGCCCACAATGTGAATGCCCACAACTAAGAAGCTAATCGCTCCACGTTTGCCAACATTCAACAGCATCAGAGAACAACAGTGTGTTCACGTGACCAGAATGTGATCTGAGACATTGTCTTGTTTATTAATCTCTTTGACAGGATGCACTGAGAAACTGAAATCTCATCTTATTGGTCAGAAACAGAATGTTCACATCCTCTCAAAGGTCGCGTGTCTTTGTTTTAAATGTTCGAGTTCAAGGAAAATACAAATAGAACTCAGATTATTTCTCTCAGTGCGCCTCTGCACTTAAAATATCCATTGAGACTTTTCTCATTGACCGACCTCGTTGCCATAATTTCACTGGACAATCAATAGATGTCAAAACAACATCTGTAGCGATCACTTCTAATGCAAATGATGCTACATCGATTCTACATCGATTGGAAGATGAATTTTCCAGGAACTAGTTATTAAATGAAATGCCTGACTGGTACAAACAACGTAGCTCGCAGCTTTTAATTGCATAGAAGCTACAAAAGTTACAAAATGACTTTGCATGGTGCCTCATGATAAATGGTGGATGGTCACATGCTGGTCTCATTACGACGTCCTTGGATGAGAGGTTTGGGTTAAAAAAGGACGAGTTTCAAAGAACTCTGAGTATAATCACGCTGCTAATTATTTCTTTCTTTTTGTACTTGACTGTGTTATCACTGCAGCATTTTCTATTGAATCCAAATGGTAGAATTCACCTTGGTTGAAGTGGACTGGGAAAAAAAAACCAGGAGAGAAGATCTTTCTTTCTTAATACATCAGTATAACATAAACCTAAGAAAAAATCCCCCTGGCGGCAGAAGAATCCCTTCATCTTGTGTTGCCGTTTTATTATCTGCCCAAACAGTTTTTGGTTTTGTGAGGATTTTTTTTTGTGCCCAAGGACATGGATCAAAGTGAGGTGCTACGTCTCCTGCTCAAATCGTTTTGAAAGACATAATCAAATGGAGACTAATCAAAATGTGCGGTGGTGCTGGTAGTCTGTGGAGAGTTCATTCTAGTCCTCCGTCGCTCGCTGCAACTTCATCGATGAATGTAAACATGTTGTCTGTTTTAGTAACATTATGTTTCCTCATTATTCATCTCGAGTCTCGTGGTGACTTTTTTTTCCTGTAAAAGTGAAATGGATGATGTGGATCCCATGAAGTGGATCTCACAGACTCTTGTCTATTTTCTATTTTTAGTGATTTACATCACTTTAATTGTCACATGCTCTCTCCAGTCATGATCGTGCTGTTTCCACAGAGGTGCAAGACTTTAAATTGCGAGAGAGAAAAATGAGCCCACAGTGTGTGAAAATGTAACGGGAAGGAAAAATGACCAGAAGGAGAACAGGAGGTAAAGATTCCTGCTTTGGTCTCTTGAATAGATCTTTGATGCAGCACAGAAACACACTCAGACATGTTTTGATGATTTGAACAAAATATTACTGGCTATGATGACTATTATCTAAAATTGACTGGAACATTTTATAAGACGCCGCACTTTATTCTCTCAAATTCATCAGCAGTGCAAACACACGAGGATGAAGCAGTTACTGATTTTGTTTGCGGACGCTCTCAATCCATCTTCGTTGTCTGCTCTTGTCATCTGGAGCTAAATTCTCCTGGTTATCACTGTTTATTTTCTCTAATGTAACATGTCTGCCAGCAGTAGAATTTATTTTGTCTGCCGGTTTTCTTTTTATTTTCTATTTCATTCATCTGCTTTTTTAAAAATCAATTTATTCTCACTTTTCGAGCATGTGAAGCATTTCACATTAACACAACAGGACCAATATTTCCTCGCAGAAGAACGCAGAGCCTCGGCAGCACGGCGGACTGCTGTCGCCTCGCGGCAAGAGGGTTTCCTGTTCGTCTCTCTGTGTGGACTCTGCATGTATCCCTGTGTCTGTGTTGGTTTTTTCCAAGTACTCCAGGTTCCTCCCACAATATAAAGACATGCAGATCAGGGTTAGGTTAGTTGGAGAGATCGATTGGAAGATGAATCTAAATTGTCCGTGAGTGTGAATGGTTGTTTGTCTCTTCGTTGACCCCGGGACAACACACAGATGGATAGAGGGATGGATGGATGATTGATAGATGGATGGATGCAACATATCATTCACTCGTTTTAGAGCAATAACAAAAGAGGAAGAAACATTTTACTCCTACATTGTCTCTTTTGAGTTCTCATGTATAATTCTTAGACTCTCCAGGTCTGAGGCTCCTCCTCCTCTCCTCACCCTGTAAATCAAGTACGCAGACTTACATGGTGCATTCAGATTATGTGTTGATAAGCGAGGATAAAGATCTCGACGAGGCCCTAATACCAATATGAGATTTCCATACGCTAAATCTACCATCGTTCATTTCATCGTAAATGTTGACAGAGCACGATGTGGCACCGCTCAACCAACACAATAATTTAACACTTACTTCAAACTGAGATGTGAGCAAATGAATTGGACACTGACACACACACACACACACACACACACACACACACACACACACACACACTTTGCTGAATTCTCTGCAGGAAAGTCATTAAAGGTTTTAAATGAAGATGAGCTGCCACTGATATGACTGATGTGTGTGTGAAATGGAATTAGGTAGCTGAGGATGACTAGTGGAATCTTTTATAGCGAATAATCATCGCTCATTGTGGCAGCCTAAATTATTATTATTGTCTGTCGACTGCTCGCTGGTTAACAAATTC